GAGTTGAAGCCACTCCCGGCCACACTCATTTTGCATGATTCGTTTCTGGACGAACAACTCTTTGAGCTGTCACAAGCGAGCCCCCCGTGGTTTGCACATATTGTGAATTACTTGGCCATTGGGCAAATTCTGCAGAATTGGTCTAAGCAAGACAAAGACCGATTCTTTTCACAGGTCAGGTATTACTTTTGGGAGGAAATCCGAAATGATGCATATGAGAGCTCGAGAGTTTTTAAAGCTCGGACTAAAGAATTCCATGACAAGCACATTAATAGAAAATCCTTTGAACCCGACCAAAAGTGTGGCTTTTTAATTCAAAATTGAGACTCTTTCTGGATAAGCAAAGATCAAGATGGGATGGCCCCTTTGAGGTTGTTGAGGCATTTATTCATGGCGCCGTTGAGGTGCGAGATCCAAAAACTGGCCACACTTTGAAAGTGAATGGCCAAAGATTGAAACCATATATAGAGGGGATTGAGAATGGGGATATGATTGAGTCCATTGCTTTGATGGACCCATTTTACTATGATTGATAGATTGATTTCTTGTTCTCTTTTCTTTCCCTTCTATGCTATTATGTTTTTCTTTGTTCTCGTTATGATTTACTTGCGTCTAGGAGACTTTAAATCCTCTAAAGGTGTAATTCCTTTGGTGTTTGCCGTGCCCGAACGGCATCTGACGGTCTGGTATAGCCACCTAACCGTGTTTGTAGTGAGTTCCTAGGAGACCAACTAAGACGGTGGAAGCTAGAGTTCTCATGGCAAAGCCTAGAACACAAAGGTTTGGGATTTCCGAGACTAGAGTCTGGTTTAAATACCCAAGGGTGTGGAGATTGCTTCAAAACTACCTCGGCTTGAACTCTGTATGGCAGCCCCATAGGTTGAGGTAGCTTTATGCGCCTCGATTCTGGATACCGAATCAACCTAGTTTGTCACCCTATTGGAGAATAGAGAAAGTTACAAACACAATTAAGGAGAAAAGTAGAACCCGTGGTTTTCATGTGAAGATTATACCTTTATTGGGCATTCCGTTATGTTCTTATGTGCTATATTTATTTCGGATGTCAATTGAAGGGAGAAATGGTTAAGTATATTTGGGTTGTACTAGCCCGAAGGCTATAAACTTCGCTGGGTTTTATTACCTAGGGGATTCTGAAGTGCAACTTTATGCCATAACTCTGGTGCCTTTTGTTAGGTGCTGAGAGTTAGTTTTCCATTCTCTTGAAGCATGTACGCTTGCAAGTGCTTCTTGTTTTTGTTAAACTATGCTGTTGCAATGTAGCAGAAAAAGGCCATTGCATGCGTGTGGGTGGAAGGGACCCTCCCTAGCCTGGGTAAGACCTTGATTTCTGCTTTGTGGTAGATGGGAAATCAAGTATTTAACCACATTCATTCATCTCTTCAAAAAAAAAAAAAAAAAAAAACCACTTGACTAGTTTGGGTTCGTAACCTTTTTAACTCGAGTTATTAAGCCCGTAGGGGTGTCTTTACACCTAATGCCCTAAAACCGTCTGGTTTGGGAGTCATTGGCCCAAAACTTGCTACATGGGTTAATTAGAAAGCTTAAGGGACTTGGACATTGCACAGTTAAGAAAAAAAATAAGAAGAATGACTAGTTCAGATTCGTAGCCTTTTCAACTCGAGTTATTAAGCCCGTAGGGGTGTCTCTATACCTAATGCCCTAAAACCGTCTGTTTTGGGAGTCATTGGCCCAAAACTTGCTACATGGGTTGATTAGAAAGTTCAATGGATCAGGACATTGCACAGTCATAAAAAAAAATAATAATAAAATAATAAAAAAAAAAGATTGAGAATCTTGGCTGCAACAGGTTAATTTTTCTGTATATGTTGGGTATTATTATGGGTTACACAGGGCTATTATAGTGGATAGTTAACTAATATGGAGATTGCACTTTACATCGAGGGTACTCATGACTTGCCTACTAGCATGCACAAGTATAGGGAACTTTACTTTTGTATTAACTGAATTGTGGTTTTGACTCAATAGGTTCCTTCATGCTTATCCACTGTGCCTTTAATGACTCATAATGTCTCAATATCACACTGTAGTGGCACATAAGTTGATTGTTAGGTGGAGTAGTGTGGTTATTTGTTGTTGAGTATATATGAATATGTTAATGTTTGTGGGTATCATTTCTGGAAATCCTCACGAGACTGTACTCGTCCACTTGGGGTAACCTTGTGGTTTAAAGGCTTGTTGCATATGCTAAATAAAACCGTTTTCCAACAAAAGAGGAAATAGATAGATTTTGTTTAATTTTATTTTATTTTATTTTACTTGCTTGAGGACTAGCAAGTAGTAAGTTGGGGGATGTGATTAAGGCCGAAATGTACATCATTGAGGCCGTTAATTAGAATCTCTTAACTTCACTTGCTGGTCAAACTGTATACTTTATGTGTGTTGAATGTCAATCAAGTTGTACATCGTCGGAGCATAAAATGGGCAAAAAGACAGAATTTGGACAAAGTTGACTTTCCTGCACGTGCGTTGACTTTCCCGCATGTGTGTTGACTTTTTCTGGGAAAGTCAAACCGACGTTTTAAACCTGTTTGGAAGTGAGTAGAAGTATAAAAAGGCAAGGAAAAGGCTTTTGTAGGGTTTTGAACTTGTTTTGACCTAAAGAGAGAGGCTAGGGTTTGGAAGGGAAGAGAAACAAAAAGCTTCAAGGATGTCTCCCATGGTGGTTTCTTCTCCATCTACCTCCTTCCACTCCTCCATGAGTGGTTAGTCTTCTTTTCTAGGGTTTTGATGAAACCCTAGCCATGTAATTATTTAGTTTTCTTTTTGATTTTTAATTATGTAAAGGTTTGAACATTTGTATGGTGATTTAGAAGTTTCTTATATATATTTTTTATTATCTCTTCAAATATTTGACTTTCTGTGATTGTTGAATGTTATCCATACATGAGTTTTCTATTCCTTCACATTTAAGGTATGAGACGAACCATGCTACGAGGAACGAGTCGTATCACTACCTTAGTTTAGAGTGAACGATTCGTATTACTTGAGATGGTTCGTGCTCGTACATTGAATGCGATGATCTTCTTGTTAAATGCTTTGAGCTTGTAGTTGCGAAGCATTAATCCGTTCAAACCATAGCATAATTGATTTCAATTGGAAACCCTAATTACGTGGCTAGTGGTGGACTCTTTGCCCTAATTTTTCCCCCAATTCAGTAAACCCAATTTCATTTATTATTGATAATTTAATTCCTTAGTTTAATTTATTTGTTATTAATTTAGGCTATGAACAATCAATCTTTTTATCAAAATTAATTTAGGAATTTAACAATTAAATTAGTTTAATTCCACAATTGTCCCTGTGGGTCGATACCTGGATTTGCCATTATTCTGAAAGAATTTGGTATAGTTTAGTGATTATTTTTGGTGTGTTCAATAACCCATCACATTTTTAGTCTTTCAATATTGTTTATTTAGTGGAGATGATGTGTTTTGTGCACTTGTATAGATTTGGCAGGTAATACACAAATTTAATCAAAAAGTGCACGAAAGCAAATTCTCTGAGCGAGAAGCGAGAAATCCGAGTCAGCCAGACCACTGCACGGCCCACCACCGCTCTAGTGGCTCACCTAGGGGCACGTGCGCATAATTTTGGGTTTGTTTTGCTGAGAATAAAAGGAAGAAAAAGTGGCAAAATCAGGGTTCGAAATTTATTCTGGAGAAAAGGGAGACTAGGGTTTTAAAGAAGTGATTTCTTCTCAAGCTTAATGGAGACTTCTATGAGGGCTTCTTCTTCATCCTCTTCCTCTTCCCACTCTTCCATGAGTGGCTAAGTTATTCTTTTTTAAGATTTTGATAAAACCCTAGCCATGTAATAGGATTTTTCATATGTTTTGATTGTGATTCGGTTTGAATCAATGTATGGATGTTTTAGAAGTTTTTAATATTCATTCTTTTCATCTCTTCAAGTATTTTACTTTTTGTGATTGTTTAATGCTTTCCATGCATTAGTTTTCTTTGTGTTTGTGCTCAAAGTACGAGACGAGTCATGCTACAAGAGACGGGTTGTGCTACTACCGTAGTTTAGGGCAAACGCCTCGTGCTACTCGGGATGACTCGTGCTGTACGTTAAATGCAACAATCCTCTTGATCAATGTTTCAAACTTGTAGTTATGAAATATTAGGTATTTCAAACCGGATTGCAATTGATGGCCGATGTTTAATCTCGTTCATATAGTTAGTGGCGAATTCTTTACCCTAAGATTTTTTCCAAAAATTAATATCTCAAACTCTAATATTAATTATCAATTTAATTTCTTAATTTCATTTAATGCCTTTTTAGTCATAAAATCTCTCAATCTTTTTAATCAAAATTAATTTAAGAATTTAGCGATTAAATTAGTCTAATTTCACAATTGTCTCTGTAGATCGATACCTGAACTTGTCATTATTTTAAAATAATTTGATATAATTTAGTGTTTATTTTTTGTGTGTATAATGACCCATCAATGGTTGAATGATTAAAGTGCCCAACCCATAATTGGGAGTAATGTTATATTCGCAAACAGAAGGCCACCATGAAATGGCTTTATTGCAAACATATTACACATAAATAAGACTACATTACCAAAATTTTACATAAACTTGTGCATCATTGCAGTAGATCCTGCATAGAATGTAAACTAACCTATGACTTGGTTTTCCATGACCAGTTTTTCTAAAATAGTAGAACAATTAAATTAAAAAGGGATACTCAACCCTCTAGTGCAAAATGCATCTGGGATGCTAAGCATTGCGTATTTTCTATCATCATCATCGAAGCTCAGAGTTTAATGGTTCCCAATAAAGGTCTGACCTTCAACTGTTTGCCGACTTTTTGAAATTAGAATTTGACCTTGTACTTTACTCTGCAACAAGCTTCGCGAACGAGGATGACTTATTTTCAAGCAACTTTGTTGGAGAATCAAATTCCTCAATAAGTCCTGCACCACAACAAAAGAACAAAAATAAGAATGGTAAAAAATTAGGAAGATCTCAAAGCAAGAGTCTTTTTTTAGCAATAGATGGATAGGGTTTATAAGAACCGTGATCTAACAGTAGAACCATGTCACTATCAACCACAGATGTTATCCTATGTGCAATTGTTAACACTGTACAATCCGTGAAATGTTGCTTAAGCGTTTGCTGAATAAGATTGTCAGTCGCTGTATCAACTGACGCCGTAGCTTCATCAAGCACCAAGACCTTGCTCTTCTTGAGTAGCACCCGGCCGAGACAAACCAGCTGCCTCTGACCCATACTCCAATTCTCCCCATTCTCTGTAACTGCAAAAATTACCACACTAGGAGGTAAGAACTTGTCTGCCATATAAGTTAAAGATACATATATTTTTAAATTTATAATAACTGTGTGAGAATAGTGGATGAAAACCTGCTGAATCAAGCTTGCCTTCCTTCTTCCTGACTTCATCTCCAAGTTGGCACTTATCAAGAGCCTAAAGCAATGAAATAGATACTTTCAATGTAATCCAAACAAGAATTCAAATATACAGGAGAGAAAAAATTCCCTTTATCTTAGTGCCAAACAGCGAAAACATTTAGAGGAAAACAACCCACCTCCCAAATCTGTTCATCTGTGTGCTCTTCAAGTGGGTCCAGGTTGCTTCGCACTGTCCCCTCAAACATGGTCGGATCCTGAGGAATGATGCTTAATCTAGATCGTAAATCATGTAGCCCAATTGAGGAAATGACGATACCATCTATCAGAATCTGACCAGCTGCAGGTTCAACAATGCCAAAGAGTGTCTGTATGAGGGTTGATTTACCACTGCCCGTCCTCCCCACAATTCCAGTTTTCATTCCTCCAGGGAAAGTACACGTAAGGCCTCGTAACACAAGTGGCATGTGTGGGGCATATCGGACCTACATTCATGTTCAAGGCATCCGGTATAAAATAACTCCACAAACACGAAACTCATTTGCTAATATGGAGAGTGAAAATTGGCCTCACCTGTAGATCTTTGATATGAACATCTCCATGTGATGGCCACTGACTATCTGGTCTATTTTCTTCTATCACAAGAGGGGACTCACTTTGGATAGATGTGTATTGAAATATTCTTTCAACTGATATGATTTTATTCTCCAGATTGCAAAGATTCCATATAACCGATACTTGTAACGTGTTCAGATTAAGCCCGTATGTCACTGCTAACCCCGCAACACCTATAATTCAAAAAATGAGTTGGTCATCAAACTTCGAACACTTGCAGGGGTGTGCAAAAGAAGGATAGTGATAGGGAACGGAAAGGAGTTGGTTGCAAAAATAGGGTTTAACAATTAATTTTTGACAATATTTTTATTTTTTGGCAACTTTTTAATTAGGGTTTCTAGAATGCTTATAAATAGACCATCATGTAATATGTTAATTTAGCTTTGAATTAATGAGATATTGAGTAGGTTGCGACCATTGTGAGATTAGGGTGTTATTCTTCCTATGTTCTTATTGATATTTTTTATCTTTCTCTTTTAAATCAATTCTCTCATATATTCTTGTTTTGGAATCAATTGAATAGTTGAATGAATTTCTTAATAGCAGTTCAACATCAAGAAGTCAATAAAGATGGGGAAAAAAATTTACTTGGATCAATTGCTCCTGTTGGCATAGAGATCAAGAAAACCAAAGAGAAAGCGAATGTAATAGAAGACAACACATCCAACCAGAAGCAAAGCCACTCCATTGCAGCAGCGGAGTAGAACTTTGGCCTAGAATGCGCATCTATCAGTTTCACACTCAACTCCTTGAATCTCGGTTCCTGATCAAAGCTCCTAATGGTTGTTGATCCTGAGATGGTTTCAGCAAAATGCTGTATAACTGGAGCTTTGCATACTCCAACTAATCGTGCCAGTTCTCGCGCTGAAGGTATGTAATATTGCTGCAATAAATTAGAACTTTCATTAATCTTACATGGATATGACATTTGTGTTTGTGTAACTCCGAAAATTGGAATAATAAAATTTGAATTATCTAGTAAAATAAAATCACAAAACTATTACACATCCAGAAATTTCTATGCTTTCCACTGATTTTCTCTACTTTGTTTTTCCCCTTATTCCAAGCAGCATTCTTGTAAATATAGTTATAATATAGAAAAGAACCTAAAAAACTCAACAAAAAAAGAATTTGAAAACAGATAAAAGAAAACCATTAAATTTCAAATAGTATGGAACAAAGATAGACATGAATCAAAAGCTTTAAAACCCTGAAGTTAGAGACTGTAGTAACAGACCAACACACAAGCTTAAAAGACTGACAATCTTATTGACAACGCTTTGATATCCAAATTGAACACTATACTATGACAAAATGGATCAATTCTCTGTGCTTGAGATAGATAACTACCTGTAACCAAACACAGGTTGCAATCACGGGAATAAAAATTATGAAGACCTGCCACGCAACCTGCGACATTACTGCAATAATTCCAAGGAGCTGTATCATTGAGAAGGCAAATGACCCAACTTGAAACGGAATGTTCAAATCCACTGCACTTTGATCTGTTGATGCCTGCAAGAGGAAAACAGATTGATCAACTAGAATTCTAAGTCATCTAACCACACAAAATCACCGATTACACTCTATTCGATCAAAAGATGGAGGGAAAACTCTATTCATATATAAAATTCATACACAAAACTTCACAAGAATTATGTGACAATGCCATTATTGTAAATAAACTCATCTTTGATGATGTTTTGTTTCTAAGTGAAAGGTACATAATAAGTCACCTCATTATATATGAAAATTATGAATGAATTTTTATTTGTATAGCATTACTCAAGATGAATACACTTACTCTATTTAAGATTCGACCACTTGGTGTGGCGTCAAAGAACGACATGGGAGCACGAAAAATGCATAAATGCATTTTATTGAAGAGTGTAGTGGCAGTCTTGTACCCAGCCGTTACGAGATGTACAGATCTGGCCAAAACACAGAAAGAACTTCCAATTGCCAAAGTCACGTAGACGATCATGAGAGTAGAACCTCCAACTGGAGCCTCCATGTCCTTCAACACAGGCATTGCCCAAGCCATCCAATAGTTGCTTCCTATTTGAAGCACCTGAAATAAAATTTGTGCCAACAAAACGAAGGGCACGAGAGCTCCTCCGTATGCTGTTGTTATGTATTTCCAGTAGATCGAAAGGCCAACTCTGCCTTTCTCTCTTTCTTCTTCTTGAACAATCTGTCCTTTTTGTCCTGCTGTATCATCTGGTTTACCATTTTGACCATGCCCGGCTTCCTCTTTCTGGACAGATTTCTGAACGCTCCCCAAACCACCGTCTTCCTCGCTGACAGTCAATTTTTCCGAGCATGACTCAGCCACTGTGGAATCTAGTGCTGATAAAGCTTCCTTATGTGCACCAACAAGTTCCATAAAATCACTCCCGGAATTGAGAATGTCATTGTATTTCCCGGGTTGAGTGATCCTTCCGTCTTTCATGACCTAACGACAAAGTAAGTTAATTCCTTGAGTTGTGAATTGCAAGCACAAAGAAATGGAAGAAACAAGAGATGAATAGCTCACCAGGATGAGATCTGCAGCTGGTAAGAACTCTACTTGATGAGTAACAAAAATCACTGTTTTTGAATCCAAAAGCCCCAATAAACATTGCTGCGATACAATGATTAGAAGAAGGCTTCAGTAAATAATTATCTAAAGAAAAGAATAAACAATTGAGAATGAAATAGAGCAGATGAAATTTATATGGCAAAGATACACAATGACCTTAAACCATGTTGCCTTTTCAAGGACAAGAATCTAGTATGCATATTGCAATATTAGTATAGATTTTGACCCAAAAAAATCTAGCCTTTTACTATAAATCTATGTTGTCAAACAATTTATTAAAAAACAAATAATAACAATGTACAGAAGGCAAATAGTTAGGAGTAGGGATAAAAGGTAGTCACCTTAAAGAGATGGCTGCCGGTATGAGCATCCACAGCACTAAATGGATCATCAAATAGATAAATATCCGCATCTTGGTATAGAGCGCGTGCAATCTGTATCCTCTGCTTCTGTCCCCCACTCAAATTGATTCCCCTCTCACCTATGACTGTCTGATCACCAAATGATAGAATTTCCAAGTCCTTCTTCAAAGAACATGCTTCAAGGACCTTCTCATACCTTTCCCGATCCGTCTCCTCGCCAAACAGTATATTCTCTTCTATCTTTCCGCTCTGTATCCATGGCGACTGAGTAACATACGCCTTCGTTCCACAGAGCTTAACCGTGCCTGATATTTTTGGAACTTCTCCCAAAATACAGGAGAGCAAGCTCGACTCCCCCGAGCCACAG